ATCTTCTAAAAAACTGGGTGAACAGAAATATGGGAGTAACCAGAAATGAAGAGGAGTGTTTGTAGAGAGTTTGTACACATGTTAAAGCATTAAGTTAATGAAGAAAACTTGGGAGATCTAAGCTGAAATTTAAAAAAGGAAGGAATATAGTCTTCCAGAAAATGTTATTTCCTGTACATACGAAAAAGCTTAGGAAATATTTCCTGAGTGACAAAGTACAAGAAGCTAAAAGGAGATCAGATAAACGGGAATAGAAAGTTTTGCATACATCTATTTTTCTAATCTTTACTGTTCCATTTGAGAGAAAATGATATTGAGGATCTGAAAGTTGAATTAACATGTGCAAGGTCATAAAGCTAATAAAAGCTTGAACTCAAGTTCATGTCTCTCTGGTTTCAGAATTCAGACTTATTTGAATACATTCTCTAACCTCTAGAGAGCTGAGGGAAACCCCTAAATTCTAGCACATGCAGAAATTACCTTCACTGTGCTTCTGACCAGTGACTGGTGCACACAAGACTGTTGTGCTTTTCCCAAACAAATCCATTGAGTTATCAAATATGACAGTGACATAAATTTGAATTATAGAGATCATTAACAAAAATATTAAAATGTGCATACATGTTTCTATTAGATAAAGTAAGAAGGTGAGGGGATACCAAACCTATTGTAAAAACAGACAAGTTAATGCCATTAGAAGGCAAGGATAATTAGTTATACTGACAGAGACAGGACATATGAAGGGAGAAAATTCTTGTTTGTTTTGTTTTATTTTGTTTTGCTGGTACTGGAAATCAGACTCAGGGCACTGTGCTTGCCAGGCAGGCGTGGCACTACTGCGCTACATCCCCATCCTGGGAGTAAATTCTTTACTGTTCTCGTCCTTAGAAAATAACTAGGAGCCATTGCATACTACATCTTATACCTCATTAGAGTTGAGCAATCTTGAAACTTGAACTACCTTAATGTTGCTCAGGGTCCAGTTATACATAGGCTAAGTTATGAGAAGTGATTGCAACAGTTTTCTTAGTCTTGATTATTTCATTGTTGATCATCTTTAGTTGTATTTATCTTTGTAGGAAAAGGCTTTTATTTTTATCATACTGCTTAAAGACTACAAATGATTACTATTATCAAAAACATGGAGTCCAACATATTTAGTCTTAACATTTAAAATAATCTAGAATTTAATTGCACATACAAACATATCCCTAAAGCAAATTCCTTTTGCTCATACTACTCTGCAACTATATTTACAATCAAGTCTTAGTCAAGAACTAACATATTCACTTTTATTTTGTTCCTCCTTTAGATACATTTAGCTCCATAATCTTCCTCACTCGGCAGCAGGGATCCATATAGAAATTCAAATGCATCAGATTATACCTTCCATAAATTCTTATCTCCAAACCTCCAAATGTACTTGAATGAGTACTTAAACTTTCTTCATTCCTACCAGTTATAAGAGAACAGTGAATTCTTTAGTACTGCTCCTTCTCTGATATTCCAGGCACTACATTCTGAATTCTAGCCCATTTTTTTTCTTGGAAACTTAAAATACTATAGATTTTTCCTTTCTCCTGTGTCTTCCATCTCTGTCCATGCTACAATTTGCCATCTTGAGGATGTAGCACTCATACTGAAGACTTTACTTTAATGATAGCCCTTAAATGTATGCAGGCAAGAATGATCAAATGGTACAGTGCTACCTCTCTGTTTCTACTATATCATTCTGGTCAACATGTTTTGCAAAACACACACACACACACACACACACACACACACACACA